GTCACTTAGACCTATTTTGGTTGGAACCTGTAGGGTGCCATGTCAATACTGTTTTCCCTGTTGTGTGAGTGCAGTGCACCAAGCCTGAAGTAAGTTGCTTCAAGCTTAGCGCATGCATAACTCACTATTTTCCCTCTAGTCCCACAGCCTTTGCCATACTAAAAAATGGTGCCTGACATGACACTGGTGGAATTCTATTGTCCATTAGATCTGGAGGCTACCCAGACCTATTTTGCATAGACCTGTAGGATGTCAAGTCAATACTGTTTTCCCTGTGTGATCAGTGCAATGTGCTGAGCTGTACATGATTCTGTTTCTGTCTGATCACATGCACAGCTTGCTGTTGTCCTTCCAGTCTCACAGCCTTTGTTTTGCCTCACTGCACGAAATGGCACATGGTGTGCTACTGCCGGAGGTCTGGGCTGTTTTGCACCGTCCACTTGGGATCTGTTGCTCTGTGTCTGCTCATGGTGGGATGAAACAGATCAGCAGGATGGGCACTTGTTTGACTGGTTTTACCTCCTGAGCTCCCAGTGAACTCCCCTTCCTACCTACCTGCCAGTGGAGCTCTGGCCACTGGCAGAGCTTGGTTGTTGCTTGACGACCACCATTGGGATATCTGGTCACTGTAACACCACTGTATTTTTCTCTTTTGCTTCCCTGAGTCTGTCAGTCTCAAAGTGCCCCTCTGCCATGGGCCTGTCATCTCCCGTTTCCTGGACTCTGCCCTCTCTGCTTCATCCTAGCTAAGGCTTCTGCATCAGTTTAAACTTTTCCACATCCTATAACCCAGACTATTATAATAAAACACCTAAAATTATGACTATTAAGATAAAGTTTATTACTGTATCAAAGGCACTAATGCAGTTGCTGACTATTGTTAAATGCCTAAAATTGTGATTATTATAACAAACATTACATTCATCAGCTATGAGAACATATGCGTATTCATTTGCAACACATATTTAGTTTGATGCATTTTAGAACCTAATAAGTGTTTGGTAAAATGTAGAAAACCAGTGCAGAAGATGGCAAAAGTTATCTAAAATCTTGTTAGCCAGAGACAAAAAAAGTCAATATTTCATTTATTCTGTTATGTATTGCTAAATTTAATGCCATCTTGTGCCACCAAGGTACAGTTACTTTCAAAGCATGAAAACCTTTATTTATTCAGAATTATTTATAAATCACGTAAATAAAAAATACATCAATATATTTCATTTCATATATAACTACTTGGTGTGTTTTTTGATCACAAAATAATGGCTTTTTAAAAAAAGAAAAATATGAGTGAAAAAGCCATCATAATTGTAATTATAATATTTTCGCACATGGTTAGCATACATATAGACACCCATTATGAATTCATGAAGTACCCTATGAAATTATCTAGAATTGCTGTCTTGTCACCAAAGCTGTAGTCAGCAGGTCAGCACTATCAGAATTGCCTACACTTCTTTTTTTTTTAAGATTTATTTATTTTTATTCCAAATTCAGATATATAGAGAGGAGAGACAAAAAGACAGATCTTCCATCCAATGATTCACTCCCCAAGTGGCCTTAATGGCTGGAGCTGCGCTGATCAAAAGTGAGGAGCATCCCCAGGGTCTCCCACACGGCTGCAGGGTCCCAAAACTTTGGGCCGTCCTCGACTGCTTTCCCGGGCCATAGACAGGGAGCTCGATGGGAAGCGGGGCTGCCGGGATTAGAACCAGCGCCCATATGGGATCCTGGGCCTTCAAGGCAAGGCGAGGACCTTAACCACCGTGCCATCGCACTGGGCCCGAAAGACTTGTTTTTATTTGAAAGCGTTATTTTTCTGTGATAGTCTACTTGATATAACTATATATAAATTTCTCATGTCATATAACTCTTCATTGTTAATCAGTACTGTATGCTCGTTTCTTGTGCACATGAATTCTCATTCCAATGGGTAAGAAATATGCTAACAAATTTAAGAGATGATTATAGGTTATAGGTTATAGGTTATATTAGTGGGAAGGACACTTGGAAGGGTCAAGGACACTTTTTGAGAAAGTGACTTCTGAAATGTGTCCTGCAAGGGGAAAGGATCCTGTTCCACAGAATTTTAGGCTTGATTTCCAGAAAAACAGGATTACAAGTCACTTAAGATTATGGTTAATAGGAGAAAAGTTTGTGGAAAAACTAAGGAGAACTCTACTAAATTAATGTTTGAGAGACAAGCTTTATCACTGGCTTCTGTTGGAACCGACAGACCAACCTGAGATAATGGGATAAAGGGAATAAATAGACAATTAAATATTTTAAGCAGGGCATTAAGATGGCACTTTCAGCTTATAATAATCCCAATTGTTTGAATTGTGGGCAAGAAAGGGACCACTCAGAGGTTAGGTTTAGTGAGTATAAGTTGTAAGCTGTGCTTTGTTAAGGGCCTTCGGAGTAAAAGGACAGGGCTTTGCACGTGTCACAGAGTCTGCAGTGAGAGCAAGGTGTCAGCTGTCCCACATTGTCGCCTTTAGCACAGAACATTATGTGTCCATTTTCTAGGAATTTGAGAAAGTAGGATTGTACTTGTGGAAGGTTTGAAGGGTTGGATTCCTTGAACATGAAAAAATAGACTCTGGAAAAGTTTCAAGTTTTACTCTGATTTTTATTAGCAATGTATCTTAAATAAATCGCTTCAACTGTGCCTCACTTTTTTCAACTTCTCTCTCTTACTCAACAGGCAAAGAGACAGAGAGAGGAGAGGGACAGAAGGTGAAAGGACGGGGAGGGGAGGAAAGAGAGCCTCCATTCACTGGTTCTCTTTTGCATTTCCCACAATGACCAGGACTGACCAGGTGGGAGGACCAGTTTAGCTCTCTCACTTGGGTTATAGAAACCCAATTATCTGAACCATCACCCCACTCCCCAAGAAATGCACTGACAGGAATTGGGAATCTGGAACTGGGGAGGGGTCTTGAATCCAAGTAATCACTTATGGGACATGAAAATCTTAGCCTGTCTCTTTATTGCTTGATCAAATGTCCACTGCTGGGGCCCAGCGCTGTGGCCTAGCAGCTAAAGTCCTCGCCTTGACCGTGCTGAGATCCCATATGGGCACCGGTTCTAATCCCGGCAGCTCCACTTTCCATCCAGCTCCCTGCTTGTGGCCTGGGAAAACAGTCGAGAACGGCCCAAGGCCGTGGAACCCTGCACCCGCCTGGGAGACCTGGAAGAAGTTCCTGGCTCCTGGCTTCGGATCAGAGCAGCACAGGCCATTGCAGTCACTTGGGGAGTGAATCATCGATTGGAAGATTTTCTTCTCTGTCTCTCCTCCTCACTGTATATCTGACTTTGTAATAAAAATAAATAAATCTGTTAAAAAAAATGTCCACTCCTCCTCATGTTTAAAAACAAACTTGGTGGGTCTGGCACAATGTTGTAACAAACTAATCCTCAGCCTGCAGTAGCAGCATCCCGCAGGGGGTACTAGCTACTCTTCTTGCTGCTCCATTCCCTGTACAGCTCCCTGCTTATGACCTGGGAAAGCAGAGAAGGATGGCTCAAGTGCTTTAACCCCTGACTCATGTGGGAGATCCACAAAGAAGCTCCAGGCTCCTGGCTTCTGCTTGGCTCAGCTCTAGTCACCGCAGTCATTTGGGGAGTAAACCAGCAAATGAAAGATCTCAGTCTCTTTCTCTGTGTCTCTGCTTTTCTCTGTAATCTGCCTTTCAAGTAAAGATAAATAAATCTTTAAAAAAATCAGAGAGAGTAATATCTGCATTGTATAGTTGTGTAGATGTTACATAGTATGATACCTGCAAAATATTAAGAATTTCTGGAATACTGTAACCAACACACAATAAGTCTTCCTTTAATTGTTGGCCATATAAGTGGCAATCTGATACTGTGAATCCCAAAATAGAAGAAAAATATCGGGCATTGTTTTTATAGTTTAAGAAAGCATTCCCCTTGAGTACTTTTGAGTGAATTAAAACTCTTAGAATAACTCCCATTTTTCTTTATCAACACTCTCATTTTTAACGTTTTTTCTTTTTGTAGATCTCAGATTATCAGGATGAAGCTAGGAAACAGGGTTAAAAAGAGTGATGAGTGTAAAATAATAATTTCATAACTCTAAAGATAACATTCCTTTGTTCAGCTCTGCTATTATTGCAAACACATTTTCCACTTTTGATTGATTGCAGTTAAATTTATTCTGTAAATTGAGCATAACTATTTTTGAAAATGTGTTTTCAGATGTGTTCAATAATTATGAAATATTGAATTACCAAGGAATAACTTGTAATTTGCATGTAACTTTAATGTCAGATTCTTAACTTTTAAAATGGTAGGTTAATGTGTTAGTATAAGTCATTTTTCAGTTCTGTTTTTCTCCTTTTCTGCAAACAGTTTACATTATAACAAAATCTTATTTTGCCTCTTGAAATTAAAGTACATGAACCTTCAAAAACATGACTGTATTTGAATATAAGTTTTGTGTATTTTCTAACAAGGAAAATAATGTAATGGATAGCTCATGGCCAGTTTGTCATGTTCTGAGAATACCAAGATAAATATGATGTTTTTTACTTTGAAAATGTAAAATTTTCTAAATATGAGAGACCTAATTTCTATATGACCTTTAGAAGCCTTATAAGGAAATTGTCACGGTAGTGAAGATGCCAGTTGGAGCTCCTGCGTCACATATAACTGTGACCAGATTTGAGTTCAGAGTCTGCTTCCCATTCTGGCATCCTGCTAATATGCACCCTGGGAGGCAGTAGGTTATAGCTCAAGTACTCCTGTTCTTGCTCCCGTTCTCCCACGTAGGAGACACGGAAGTTTTAGCCTGGACCAACTCTACATTTTGTGTGGGTGGGCATTTAGAAAATGGATCAGTGGAAATCCATTTCTCTTAAAAATAGGTCTTTGTAAATAATGAAGCATTGTTGCTATGATTGTGGTAACATGGATGTCCTTGTTAAAGCAAGCGTCATTTTCCTTTTTCCTCCCCCTGCCTCCTGCTTTGGCAGCCTGCACTGGGATCATGAAAAGAGGCTCAGAGAAGAACCTCAAACGTGGATACCACCAGCATGAGCAGCCCAACAGTCCAGCCTGGTGAGTGGAGAACTGTGATTCCCAGCTCTGTGTTCTATGTCGTACTTTATATATATGATGTGGATCCCATTTCTCATGTAAAAAAAAAAATCACAGTTTAAAAATTAAAATGAGAGTATTTAGAAAATGTAGCCTTTAACTTTTAACATGAATTGGAAAACCTGAGTGATAAGCTATTTTGTGGGAAGAGCCACCAATTTTTCTATACACACACGATTTTTAAAAGACTAGGCAACCTTGTGAGCATTGCATGTGTTTCTTGAGTCCTGTTTTCCTTATTTTAACATGGGAATAGTTCTCTGCTTTGATTTTTCTAATTAGCTAAAAAGTTGCATGTAAGAAATCCAGAAGTTGGCTTAGTGAAGACAAGGGGCTTATACATGTAAGCATTACAATCAGCGGATTCTTTGCAAATGCTAAGTACTCGTTACTAAACACTTTATTATATTGTGATATTTAATCCGCAGTACCTTAAAAATTACCATCTACCAGATGAAGAAACTTTACCACTAGCAGATGATAAAAACTGATTGTAAATCACACAGTGTTCCCAAAGCAGGTATTTGAAAACTTGTCTCATAGCAGAGTCTCCATTCTTGTATTTATTGATAAACTTGGCAAGATTTATTCAGTATTGCTATAGTTTCAACGATATTACACTCCCTAAACTCTTAGACCTGGTTAAACCCCAGTATCTCATGTGAATGGTTAATGCATTAGTGTTTGGTGAATAAAGACTTGGTCCAGTGGTGCCCTCTGAATCTGGAGCCATTAGGGAGTGACTGGATTGATTTGGGTTGCTAGAACACCATGAGCAAATCATCATGACATTATAAGGGAAGACCACATGCAGAATAAAAAAAGAACATACTCTTGTGTGTTTCCTGACTGCTGTGGGATTTTCCTTTGCCATCCACGTGCCTTCACCAGATGCTTACACCAGAGTATATTCGTGGTCTTGACCTGTGAAATTCTAATCTAGAAACTGAAGATAACCTTTCCTTCCAGTACACACTGCTCGTGTATTTTAGTAATGACAAACTGAATCCTACAGGTAAGTAGATTGTACTGTTTCTTTTAGCTGAAATGTTCTGATTCTCAATGTTTAGTACTTAGAATATGAAAACTGTCTAGTTATGTGAGGCCTTTCGGTTTGTGAGTAGTTTATGACTACATACTTTTACTTCAAACTCATTTATTCTTTGTAAAGTGGACAGGTTGTGGATCACTTGCATGATTTGATGAATGAAAAAAATTAGAACCTGAAGGGTTATCTTGTTATCTGGGTGTTTTAGACCTCAGCGCTTCTTAGGCTCTCTGGGGTTACGAATCAACTCATTTGTAATCCAATGCAAACCAAGTGTTTTGGTACAATTATTTAAAATTTATGGCTAGAGAGGTTAAGTGCCAAAAAAGTAGCTTGTATTTTTTACAACTTTTTCTCTAATTCTACAAACAAATTTTTCTTCACACGTCTCTATAACAGTTACTAATGCGTTTTCCGTTTGCATGCTGCTGACCGTGCAGACAGTGACTGCCTGCAGGCCGGTTGTGACTAGGTAGGACACACCGTTGCACTGGCAGAGCTAACACGGAAACAGGAACAACCGGGCAGGTGTTCTTGGCTTTCTATCCTCAGTTTTTTCAGGTCTTTTCATACGACTCCATATTACCTCATCCCACAGAAACAAGCCTGTTTTATGAGCTAGGGGACATTTACAAAATTTTTAAAAATTATTTCTTCTATTTTCATCTTGTGTATTCTTTGAACAAAGAAGTTAAATTGTATTTAGAAGTCTGATCCAGACATATATAAAATGCTAAATGATAGAAACAGACCTTGGTCCATTATGAATTGGAAACAAACCTCATATCCCTACTGCATTGAAGGAATTTAAAAGTAAATTTTTCTTCTTCATTTAAAAAACTGCTGAGGAAAATCACATCCCCTTTGATGTAAGGTAAAGGTGTATAATATTGAGTCAGTAATGAATCTTTGTGATGGTTTTATGGTATTTTTTCAGTTTTACTGAAATGGATCCAAGTATGTATATGTGCTATTTTATTACTAACTATTTTACAATATTGTGAAAGTAATATTGCATAGATGTTCTGGAAGCATTTTTGGTTGTGAATAAATATTAGAGGATAATTGACATTTTTCTCCAAATGATGTTTTTTGAATACCTTTTATCTTCATTCAAAACACTAGAAATCGGTTGTTGGCTTCTTTCTGGTGGATACAGTATCATGTCATACGTTAAGCAAATATATTTATTGAAATACTCAAAAAATACATAAGTCCTCAAAGAGTATCTCAGTAAATTATCACCATGTCTTCACACCTGTAGTGCCGCTCAGATTAGAAAATAATGAACCTCTTTGAAGTTGCTCTTATTCTTTGCTAGTCACAAATCTGAAGGTTTCATTAAAGAACCCCTTTCCTAAATTCTACCATTATTTATTATTTGTTCTTAATAAGTGGAACAGTGGAGTTAGTATTTTATGTGTGACCTCTTATTCTCATTTTCCCACATATAAGATTCCTAAATGTAGCAGTGGCTTATCTTTCAGTGAATTATTTTGTAACCAGTTTGTGGATCTTATATCTTGAAGCAAGTCTGTTGAAACATGTGGAACTTTGTAGTGGTGCACAATTAACTTTACAATCTAGTCCTTCTGCAGCTTACATCTGGTAATTATCAGGAAGGTCTATTTTGACTGTTCTGATGCATGAATTGTGATAAATTTTTTTTTATTTTAATTAATATTTCCACAATGACTGATAAGAATGGTACTTTTATCCCAAAGCAGCAACTACCTACCCCTGTCCAATTTCAAAAAAATGGAAGTTTGGATAAAACACTAAGAATAACAGTAGCTTTATTCACCTGTCTTTTTGTCATTAAAAATTGAGTATGTCATTAAACATACTCAAGCATGGAAATCTCATCCAAGTTAAATCCAACTTAATTGTTTTGCTCAACTTCTACATTCCTGTTAACTAATTTCTACATTACATTCTATCAAATTTTATCTTATTCCATTGAATACTATCCGATCTTAGGACAGCAGATTCACAGCTAACTGGTAAGGATTAGAATTTGCTGTGGAGAAGTGATCATACACCCCATTCCTGTGTTGAGAGATTTAATTATCGGTCCTGCCAGTTGAAACGCGAGATGGCACATGGGCAGCAGGCATGAACATGATCCAGTAGGAGAGCTGGTTGTGACCGAGGGCCTAAGGCTTTCACCCATGTGGGGAGTATGACAGCTATATCATTTTTCCAGGCATTTCCTCTGGTGGGCTGTGTTATGTGGTTCATTTGCTTCCAATGCTATTAGTTTCCAAACAGTATGGAACATTAACTGATATGTTAAGAGGGTTTAAATGTGCATAATTTGATGCTATGCTGACATGTTATTTGTTTTTATGAAACCGTATTACCAGAAATTAGCTAAGCCCCAGTGCATTTATTTTATTGTAATATATGTATACATATATCAAACTGTACATTATGTATCTATATAGAATATAAAATTTACTACCTTAAGTTCTTTTAATCTGTGGTTCTGTGTGCTTAAACATATCATTATTGTTGTATGACAGTCATGAGAATATGTCAGTAGAACCTCAGTTAATTATAAAACTCTATTCATCCACATTTTATTTATCTTTTTTTCACTTAGCTTCTTAGACTCTGCAATTTCAAGTGAATTGTTTTCAAGATCACTGATTGCTTTCCGTGTGGTCAAGGATCCTACTGAAAAATTGCAGGGAGGCCAGGCATGATGGCTCAATAGGCTAATTCTCCCATCTGCAAGCCCTGGGATCTCATATTTGCACGGGTTCATGTCCTGGCTACTCCATTTCCCATCCTGCTCCATGCTTGTGGCCTGGGAAAGCAGTAAAGGATGGCCCAAAGTCTTGGGAGATCCTGAGGGAGCTTCTGACTCCTGGCTCTGTAGAAGTTCTACTCTGACCCTTGTGGCTCTTGTGGCCATTTGGGGGGTGAACCAAAGGATGGAAGATCTTTCTCTCTGTCTCTATTTCTCTCTGTAAATCTACCTTTCAAATAGTAACAAATAATAAACCTTTGTTTAATAAAAGGAAATTTTCATGAATTTTCAGTTTTGATATTATCTCAGCTCTAGTACATTTTATAATCTCTGTGGATATTTTCATTTGTTTGTATTTTATTTTACTGATTACTTCAAATTCTTTATTCATAATCTCTCTGCTTTGGCAGTATTTAAGACAATTTTAAAGTCTTTTCTAGGAAATATGATATATGTGTTTCTTTAGGAGCAGTGTGACTAGGTTATGATCATTTCTTGAGGATTGGCCATTTGAAAAAGGAACCATGTCTTTGCAAACTGGCTCTGTGTTGAAAAATGCAGCTAATCAACTTGGCTGGGTGACTCTATGTCTTCTCAGAATCTTTCTGTCTCAGCATGGCCTATGATTTTTTTGTCTTCCCTGTATACGTTTTAGAGCTTTGGTTTCCAGGGTGATGCCATTGCTCTTGCTTCTTTACCATTTCAGTGAGAGAATAAGAGCCTGGAACTTCACTATCCATCAATTTTCTAATGTCATCCATAGCTGCTTTTAAATGGACTAATTTCATAAATAGACCATTCCTGTTGTGTTTTTTTGCCCTTACTGTTGGTACCTTACATTCCTCTTCCGAAAGCCTCGTATCCTCTGGTTTTTATGCATCTGTAACTGACCCTCCTCGCATCTGCTCTGCTTCCATAAGCCTGCCGGTCCTTACCTAGCTTCTAACCTCAAGTTCAAACTGTGCCACTGATTCCTTTCTTTTTTACGTCACTTCTAAACTGTTTTTGCTGTTCATTATTCTATGTCACTCTTAGTTATACCTCTGCTTCCTCTTTCTAAATTCCAAATCAGGTAAGACCGAATCATTTCCTTGGAAGCAGATAAACAGATCAGAACATTACAAGATTTCTGTTTAGCTATTTCTGGCCCCAGAAAAG